AGACTGGATTCCCCTCCCCCATTTCCTGCATTCCCCCAAACACTTCCAAACTTGTCTCATCCACACTCATTCTTCCTCTGCTCCAGGCTCAAAGGACTTGCTATGAATTGGGCTAGTAGTTCAGCCAAACACTTTAGGTTTGAACACTGAATCTTTGTACCTATATCATCTGGGAAATTTGTTTTACCACTCTAAATATCATGTGTAAAATGGGGATTTTTGTGTAGAATTCTTATAAGGATTAATGACATTATGTATGGAAAACATTTAGCACATAATAGGTGATCAATAAATGATAGCACAAGACCCAAAGATTCCTCTCCAGCTGTATGGCCTTCTCCTCTCGTCCTGCTTTTTCAGCCATTTTTCTTAAAAATAATTTATACTTGCTGTCTCAACTTGCCCATCTCCCATTTACACCCAACTCACTGTAATCTGTCTTTTGTTCCCCCTCCACTGACACTGCTTGCCAAAGATCTAGTGAACTTCAGATGCATTCATGGAGCTTTGAGTCATTTCTTAATCTTTTCTGCATACAGTCACAGTTAACCAGTTTCTCCTTCAAACTTCTCTCTTGGTCTCCCTGATACCAGAGTCTTCCCAGTTTTCCTAATTTTCATACTGTTCCTTCCTGTTCTCCTTTGCTGCCTCACTCTGCCCTTTAATTAGTGTTGCCCTCAACTTTCATGTGTCTGGAAAAAGCATGATTCTTTGCTATGAGATCTGAGTTGAAATTCCGGTTCTCCTACTTACCAATTTGAGTTCCTAAATTACTGAACTCACCTGAGCCTCCATATGCTAATCTGTGGAAAGGTAACTCCTCTCCTAGATAATCAACCTAAATGGAGTCATTGTACACTGAACCTGCATTTCCCATTGTTGTAGTGGATTGGTAGCCATAAACTGGAATTCCAGGCCTAGAAACTCATTTCATACCTCAAGAATGTCAAAACTCAAAACAAAGAATATGCTCTTCAAAATATTTATTAACCATATAAAACTAAACAATATGAACTATAATATAAATGTTTCTTTGAGGCATTTTTCTTCATGGGCTGGACTGGCTGAGGTTTCTTAGACTCTTAGTTTAACGAAGTTTGGACAGAACATGCCATCTTTTCCTGGTAACTCTTCCTAGAGCATACACAGATATTTTTCCTTACTCCAGAGACCTTTGAACTGCATTGAAAATTAGGGTCATCTGCCACAAAGAAAAAAAAAGTTCAATGACATTCAGATGAAAGCCTCTCAAAGTTTTTGAAAGTTAAATGTTGGGAGAGGGACAGTTTCAGTGATGTTTTACTCTCGCATTTATATAAAAATCTACTTTGCTGAGCTTGAGAAATGTCTAACAGTACAACCAGGTTTTCAGGAGAAATGCGGAGTTCCACTCCGCAATGTCAATCAGTTTCAGTGATGCTTTTTACAGTTAAACAAATGCCTTCAAAATACTGAGGCAGTTTCCTCCAAATTCCTAGTTCCAAGCTTCAATTATGATTTTCACAGTATCCAAAACACTTCCAAAATTTCTTTTGATCCATCCTGTTTGTTGATTGATTTAACTGGCCTTTAATAATTTCACAAATAAAAATACCATAAGGATGCAACAACTTTGATCTGTTGGCTAAAGTCAGTGAGATGCTTTGTGGATATGAACTGGGGAGGAAGAAAAACTAATGTCAGGATGCTGCTGCTTAAGAATTAGACAGCCTAAACCATTACCCAAACCCAGCTGTTACCAATTTTTTAAATACCATTTCTTGCCCTCTGGAACAGAGTAAAAAAATCAAAGCTTAAGAATCGGCTCTTCAAAAGACATTAGTTCATTAATTAAAGGGGATTGCCTTGGATTCTTGGCAAGAGAAAGGTAAGGCAACAGTTTCAATTTGTAGTCAACTGCAGTATGGGATTCCTCCTACTCAACAGCATAATCAATATTTAAAAATTTTCTTCACTTAAGTTAGCTTTCCAAAAAAGTAATTTTATCAGTGTTAAATATCTGTCTCAAACAATAACAGGCCTCTGCATTTTAATTTTTCTGTGAAATTTTTCAATGCTTCCATATTAGCACTTGCAGCTGATTCTCCCCATTCTGACCTTATGCTAACAAGTTCTTATTCCATTATAAAAACAAACAAAACCTGTTCAATGTGCAGTGTTCCCATCTAATGAAATCTAACAAGTTCTCATTCCATTATAAAAACAAACAAAACCTGTTCAATGTGCAGTGTGCCCATCTAATGAAATCCTATCCCCTTGTTTCCACGCATAGACCTCCTAGTTCAGGCCCTCCTTACTTTTACACTGATTTAGTACAATGGCCTTGAAGCCAATCTAAACCTAATTCCCGCGATCCATTCTCCAACCTGCCACCAAGCTTCTTCCCAAGGTGTAGGTACATAAATTGTCCTTTGAGCCATCCCTCCAACATAGCACTTACCACATTTTATTGTCGTTTTGTGTTTACATGAATCTCCTCTATTTTATCCCAAGTCCCTAGTGGACAAACACTATTTCTTTGGTCTACCAGTTAGTACATAAAAGGCACTTAACCTAAGTATACTGTATTGAATATGAGCCCAATTCTCATATCAGCTTTCAGAGAGCCTCAGAATTCCCTCTTTGAAAATCAGATTTTTTTCCTACTCAATCTACTACTCTTAAACAATGTGAAAAACTTACTGCAAATCTTGATGAAAAACACCTGATTTTTTTCTTTGACGCTAGTGCACTAGAAAAATGCACCTTAATGACTTAGTGATGCTCACAAACACCATTTCTTATAGCTTTGTCCTCAGTGGCTGAAATGTATTACCTGCTCCAGCCTATGCAGCTTTTTCTGTCTTCCATATCTGTCAGCTTTTATATCTAATTTATCTGCACCGACTCCTCTAGTGCCTCTAAATTGTACTTTTTAACATGCCGTGGGCTTAAAATCTAAAATAATCAAGCTTGTTAGAAATGTTTATAGCAGAAAGAAATAGACCCTAATCAAGAGAAATGATGTACCCATGATCAAAAAGCCCAAGGATTTTGCAATGTTCATTTTTACCTGCTAAAAGGCCTTCACTGCTTACTCTCTGGTTCTAATCTACGTCAGAAAAAGATGTCACATAGAATTAGCACTGTTAATCACTTAAACTTGCACTCTCAATTCTAAAATCCAGCCTAGTTTAGTGAGTTAAAACCCTCCCCACTTCAAAACTCTTCTGTGACTCAGTTCAAATTAAAAAGTTGAGTCCTATCCATTATATTCACTTAATAATCTAAAGCTATCTTAAATCACATTATACATTTCTAGCAGATCAAATGCATTAATACACAATGTGATGTAAAGATATTATTTATGACAAAAAACACTGAGGGTTGATGGGTAAATTTGTTAAATCTCAAAATGTAACTAATGTAGACTAAAGCTCATCATTAAATAATCAGTGTTTCATATTCTGTCAAAAATGTGCCCTCTGCTTTTAGTATTTCATATACATTATACTCTACATTTTAAAATGTAGTGATAATGGAGATAAAATAGTAGAAAACAGGCATCACAAAGATTTAGACAATTAAAGTAAGCTCAGAGTGACTTTTAATATGCCAATCAATGTTAATAAAACACAAGTCAAACAGACTAGTGCAAACATGTTTTAAACCAAAATAGGAAAACAAACAATAGACAGATTCTATTTTTTTGCAACATCTGTTAGCCAGTATTATTAGTCAAATGGCTAATCACACATAAAACATATTTTGTGATAAGCTTGGGACAGTCAGAAGTCATTCTGGCATTTCAAATAGCTATGTACAGTATCACCAAGATTAGTTTATATACACAAATATTGAAGTGAAACCAGGCAAAACATTTAAAAAACAGACTAACAATATAATCAAGTATAAAACTTGGGTGGAGGGAGGAAACATTTTTTAAAAAGAGTCAGGGAAGGGCATTATCAGGAAAAAGTACAAAACCAGTAATAATTATACTACATTAATACAGCATTCCAAAGGGGGGGAGGGAGGGGAAGGTGCATTTCTCCAATGCACTAGCTTCAAAGTTCAAAGAAAAAAAAAAAAAGGCAAAAAAAAAAAAAAAAAGGCAAATAGCTGCTTTTCATCAAGAGCAGCTATATATTTCACATAATTGTTTTAAAAAGAAAGCCTATTAACAACGATGATTGTTTAATGCTACAATTTTACAGCAAAGACAAAACTAAAATAGCAGCAAATTCACAAGGCAATACTTCCACAGAATTATCATTCCATGGTTCATGCAATGCCTACAAAGTGCTCCCAGTTGGATATACAAGTATAATTCACAATTTTAAAAAAAGAAATATAAGATTGACACACAGGTACATTGAAGGCTGAGGAGTACTGAGTCTCTTAGCATTTCCCTTTTCAAAGGGAGAATAAGTATGTAATAAAGCCCTTGAGTCCTTTTTTACAAGTCACTACAGGGACAGATACCTTTTATTACAATGCAACAGCTAACTATAAGCAGCACACCACCACAGTGGCTAACCCTGGAAAGGCTGGTGTAACATCCAACAGTGACTGACATCCTACAGAAGACACACTGGTAAACTAGACAAAAGCCTGATACAGCACTGGTCAAAATACAGCTTTCAACTGTAATTCACAAATAAAAGTCCTAAAACATATTTCAGTAAAACTACTGACACCGATTGAGAAAGTAATTGCAAACTGGATTCTAGCAGTGATTTCAGCCTAGCTTCCTCTTGTCGCAGTTTTTTGTGGGGGGTGGGAAATGAGTAGTTCAGTATATGGTAAGGCTG